TCTCGTTGCTACCTGTGTGGTTTAATTCAAAAATAAAGTGTCTACACTCTGTGTTTGAGGGGGCTTTTTTGTCTGAAAAACAAAGAAAAACAGCTTTTCTCATGGAAACAGATGAAAGAGACAAACAAACAGACAAAAAGGTGCATGTGTTGTGGCCCATTATTCATGCATCATGTGACTGGAGGAGAAAAAAACTGGATGGGAAACTCTCTGAGCCGGAGGACTACTTGACTAAGACTCCACTGGAGCAGCGCAGAAGAAAATTGTTTTTACTGGGCAGCTACCAGCATGTCAATTAGTCAAAGAGACTCTAGAAGTGAAGTATGTTTCAAAATTTCCCCTTTGAAAAATAACTGTTAAAATAAACCGTGAGTCATGGGCAGAGCTTCCTGCGTGTGCATTTTTCTTACTGTAGATGTATTTTTAAGCAAAAACTTTCCCCTGATATCAGTCAGGAAAACTGGGACAAAGAGTTAACTGACTCCTATGTAACTGTGTGCTGTGGGAGGTGGGACAAACTGCTAACAAAAAAGGAAGAATGTATGCAAAACCTCAAGGCTCTGCATCGATTTATAGTTTTGAGGTAAAGTCATGTTCTAATGGGAACAATATTATAAGCCAAATGAGGGGGAGAATAAATCCATCTGAGGGCCAGCTGGGCGTTTCATGTCAAAGAGGTGCAAGCTGGGATTAATCCTGTCCCATTTTATAAACTGTCAAATTCCAAAAAAACTAACAAAAATCAGTCGACTCAGATGAAACGCAGCTGCACTATGTGAAGGAGCTGAAAGGACCAGGAGGTGAAAGGTAAACGCTAAGAAAAGCTGTTTCCATGGCACCAAGAAGTATGATTTGTTTATTTCCAGCCTCTGTCTTCAGTTTTGGATAAAAGATTATAATCTTAAGCATCTTTGGAAGACTCGTCGTTCCTCTCAGTAAATCCGCCTGTGCTCGAATCTACAAAACTTCAGAAAAACATCTTCGGTTTGCTTCCTGTCTTTGTTGTTTATCGCCTCTGAGTACACCATGGTCCATTTCTATCTCTGAGCTTATGTCTGTTTTTCATTCCTTTCCCTGTAAGGCTGCATAGATCTGACGAGGAGTTCAACAGGAGGCAGGCTGCGCTAACTTCGCAGGGCTCGCAGGGGTCAAAAAATGTGCGCACTCCCACACTCCCGGGCACCGCGATGACTTTAAAAAGGCACTTAATTCTATCAGAATAAAGTCTAATTTATTCCCATTCTTTAAGTCGGAACAACAGCTTGGACCCATTAAGTTTTAATCATCCCCAAATCCTTTGTGATTTAAAGGTGCAATTAGATTTTCATAGTTTTTAAAGTCCCCTAGCACCAAGTAAATGATCACGCCATGTCTGCAGGCACCTGCCAGGGATCAGAACCGGTGACTCAACGAGCCACTGAGCCAACTACTTGGACTTCTGGGGTCAGTTTGTCCCGAAAACAACAAAGATTTCCTTCAACTGAAGCTTCACTCATGTAGCTCTTATTTATAAGAACACCTGTTGCCCATTAATAGTTAACCCTGTGAAGCCTTTTTTTATTTTTTGTTTGTTTGTTTTTTTCAGTTTTCACACTGTTACATGGAGATCTATGGCACAGCATCAGGCTCAGCTAACTGAACCGTTTCCTGTTCAGCTTTAGCCTTGGCACTACAGTTCCCAAGATGCTTTGGCTCAGGCAGACAGGAAGTGTAATGCTACCACAGAGTTTTTAGTATTTGCTGGTTCCTCTTGTGTTCATATTTGTTTTCATTTGGTTTTTAATCAGGAAGCACATACAATGACGTTCATCCCATAGTGAAAAAGATCCCATATACCAGATTTAGCTGCTAGCTAATTTACCTCTGCAGTCTGTGGGTACATACACCCAATATTAAATGGGGCTAATGATCTTTTTTCTTTGGTACCCGCAACAATCTACTCTTCCTTTGATGCAGCAGTGTCTAAAAGTGTACAACTGATATTAAAAAGGTTATTGTCCATTAACTTTTTATTAACTATAGTTTATGCTTTTTTATGTTTTTGTTGCATATGTCGATAACCCCACTTGCCTTCTTTGGTAGTGCCCACAGTCTGTAGCGGCGCTCCGGGGCCGGACGGGTATTCGGGAGTGACGGTGACACGGTAGGTGGTTTGAGGCCGAAGCTCGTGGAGCACGGTGGTTATCTCCCTGCCAGTGGTGGTCGTCTCCATCCTCCGGCTCTCATCGTCGACCGGTTCATAGTTGAGTCGGTAGCGAATGACTGGTCCGGGAGCTGCTAGCCATGACACTCTGAAGCTGTCTGTTGTCTCTTCAGATACTCTGAGGTTGCTAATTGGGCCTTGTTCTGTGACACAAGTGAATCAGACACCCTCAGCTTTAACTGCATATCTTTACTCATTCATGCTGCCACTGTCCAAAACCTGAGCCTATTGTTCTGCGGTAACCTGCAGCAACCAACGTTGTGAATCAATCAATACACCTTCCAGTTCAATATTACACTTAATCACTTAATTTGTTCTATCACAAGTTTGGTCTTGGTATTAAAATCAGTTTTTCAAAAGTTACATTTAACTTGTTTATATCTGTACTACACCTTTATGTTGATTAACAAAATATCTTAGCAGTGTGGAAAAAGAAAAGCATAAATACATTTTTTATGCCAGTATAAATACCTTCTAGCGTGGTCTGATAGCCAGTCACAGGCAAGCTTTCCCCTTTCTCGTAGTGGGCGTAGATGTTGACTTCGTAGCGAGTGTAAGGGTTGAGGTAGGGCAGGAAGGCAGTCAGGGAGTTCCCGGGCACAGACATGGACACAAAATGCCCGTCGGGGTCATCTGCCGGCCTGAACTGAACCAGGTAGGACTCAACATTGGTGGCGTCCGTCTTCCATGAGGTCCTAAAGCTTCTGGAGCCGATCTCTGAGAAGGTCAGGTCCTTTGGTGAGATCAGTTCTGGAGGAGGAAGAATATTTTTTTTAACTTAACAGGGTTCAGCAGCTAGTTCCTTTTTTGGCATAAAGAGTGTCTTCATTACGAATTAAGGAGAAGAAGAAGAAGGTTAAATAATTAAAATAAAACAATACAGCACATTGCTCTGAGAAAAAAGATGATTATTCTCTGAAAGAAAATTATTGTATGTGTAAACTCAGACGTGAATGGTAAAATCATCAATAAACTGTAATCACGCGATACCAGCCTTAACCTCAAACTTAACATTTGAGGTTAAGGCTGGTAACATCACCCCAATTCTGAGGCTATCCTCGCACTGCGAGATGGATTTTCTTAGACTTCTATATAATCTGACTTCTTTCTTTAACCAGAGGAGCTGCTCCCTGCAGGTAATTGAGATGAATGCAAGTTTAAGGTTTTCAGACCTGGAAGGTAAGCCAATATTTTATATAAAGCCTTTCCAAAATAACCATATTAAGTAATGCCAGCATTGCATTAGATTACATTTTGGTAAGTTTGCAGGATTGCTGAGCAGTTCTGAAATGATGATCATGTTACAGAAGAACAATTCATTTTACTAGAAAGAGTAAAATGTTACATCAAAGTCAGGGTAAAGGTGTTATCTTAGGTTATTAGAATGAAAATGTAAAGTATTCAAATCATCATACAAAACTGTTTGTATGGTATCCATCTCTGTGGAAATTCTTTATAGCATTTTTAAATCTTGATAACTTTTTTTTATCATGATTTGTGCTTTACCAGAAGTTAAAATGCAATTTGGTGTTTAATTCCAAAAACTAAACTGACTGACTAAATGTGGAACAACTAAGATATTTACAGGTGGTTTGACATCTGTTTTCAAAATGGATCATCAGAAGAAATACATTCCTGCTCTGGCTCTGACATTAAACTGGGCTGACAAAATATGTGTCTGACATCTTTGATATAGTGGGAAAAACAGCATCTTTCTCCAAATCTGGCTGTTAGTTAAAGGTGATTCATAGTCACATGCTGCATCTGTTAAATCAGCCCCAGATGTGATTACCTATGAGTGTCCCCTGCCGTGAAAAGGGTCCCTTAGGAGTCCTGTTGTTGCAGATTTCAAAGTCCACACTAGGTGAGCTGCCTGATATTTTGTTTTCCCACTAGGTCATTTGAGATTAGACCCACCACAAGCAGCCCTGACTAATTTATTCATTGAAGTTTGCAACTTATCTCCCTGGTATTGATTTTTCAGACACAATGAACACATTACTTCAAGCAGCTGGCCAACAGGCTCAGATTTGCATCATCAATCAGCTCAGTCTTTCTAGTGGAAAAACTAAAGCAGTTCTACAATTCGTATTCTCTGGAAGCTCTCTTTTTTTTCTTCCTGTCTAATAGACAAAAGTAGAAGAGAAAGGGCCGACCTACAAGGCAGTGCCATCATTCAGGATCGGGAGGGCCGAGACCCGCTACCAGAGCTCTTTAAGTTGGGCTCCTGCACATTCTCTTTGTTGACATAAAGTCAGTATTATATAAGGATTATATAATTGGCAATCAAAGCTGGTGTGAGTCACATTTAACACTGCCAGACGTGGAAGCTCGTTTTGGCAAACACTGAGCGATTATTATTGCCCTTTTCTAAGAGGATGAAACAGCATTTGTGCTTTAACCTCTTTGGTGTTTAAACCCAACTAGCAGACGTTTTGGGGTGGGTGATGACTTCAGTGCAAAGAACTGCACTTCAAAGGTTTGTTTATGTGACAGACAACACACCTGACAGCTTGCATAGACTTTGTGTGGTAACACACTGAGTCATCTGCTGCTTTGGCTCAGTTTAAACATATGCAAATACATCTCTGCAAAGGACTATTTGACCCATTTGCCCATGCAGAAACTCTCCTTGTCCTTGAAAGATCAAAAGGTGGGCATGTGTTTTACACGTTGAGGCAAAAAAATGGTTTTAGCTAATAAAGACATGCTCAGAAAATGGACATGAAAGTAATCATGTCCATGTGGATGGCTGATGGTACAGTTATGTACTCTCATCGACCTCACAGGGGGGTAAAGTTGCAACCGACTGCTGCTGTGGTTAATTGTTAAAATGTTGATTTCTTGACTGCACGTGTAACAATAACATTAGTTAACTGGTAGATTTAGAACTTGAGCTAAAATTTTTAACAAAAGATTTCTAATTATTGTACTAAACCCATGGGTTGATCAAAAGCATTGGCATTGTTTTTAGCACTGTATGCAAATAAATGAAAACAGCTTCAGCTGTTTGGTGGTTAGGAGGAGGAAGCTGTTGTTTGGTGTGGAAAACCTTGAAAGACTAACAACATGTGTTGAACTTGTTTAAAACAAATAAAGTGAGAAAGCAAGATAAATCTCAGAAATTAAACCCAAAATAGAGACCAACAGGATGCTGGACTTGTTTATAGTTTTTGACGTTGTACTTCTTTTTCACTATTGTGTGAACACTGAAAACTATACTTCCTCAACAAATGGAAATGTTTGAAAGCAAGTTGTATAATATATATATTATATATTATATATGTATGTATATATATATATATATATATATATATATATATATATAACTAATGAACTGTGGGCTGTTTTGTACTCCATGATTGGTTCTGCTACCTCGTGCCAACAATTAAGCAAAGTTTATTCATAAAGTCCTCTGAATGTAATTTAGCAAATGTAAAACGGAATAAACGGATAAAGATCTGTTTCTATCCATCAACATAAAAAATATCATTGTCTGCAAAGGAAATCAGAATTCAGAATTCATCTAAAACAGTATAAAACTTGTGTGAAAAAAGTTTTCGGGGTTTTAAAAAATATATATCTTTGTATATTTTGCACTGAGCGTTTTAGCTTTTGCACTGTACTCAAATGTGACAGGGGCTGATCTGATCTGAATGAAGGTGTTCAGCTCATGAATCCTGAGAACTGAATCCTCCAGTGTAACTGAGAAGCCTCAGAATTAATAGCCAAAGAGGTAAAAATGCGCTGAAATCAATCATAAAGTAGTACGTTTGTTGCAGACTGGTGATTTCAAGACCGAGATCAACAGTGAATGGTTCAAACCTTCAAACTTAGTTTTCACAGAATTATAATGTTGATGCTGGAGTATTGGTATACAGTTCATAGGGTATACTACAGCTTGCCATTAAAAGAAATCCTATAATTATGATGCTGAATAGCCTTAATATGCTCTTGATTTCTGGCTGTAATTGAAAAAAAAACTTGTGCAAACAAAAGTAAGTTCCCTGACTTCACGCTGTACGTCTTGGACATTGCTTAGATGTCCTTTTCAGACTTTCTATTTAAAAAATTTTGTGTCCAGTCACTGTTTTATACTATCAATTATTATAGATTATAAAAAATGAAATAAAGCAGATATCCTCAATCGAAGAAAGAAAAGAAGAGTAAGAATGTCAAACCTCCAATTTCTGACTGTTTCCCATTCCAATTAACTTTCTGAATTTATTCTAATCTGCAAGTTTATAATGCAGATAAAAGAGGACAAAAGTTCACATTACTTTAAAAGTAATCAGTTGCCAAATTAATTAAATTACAAAGACTTCTGTGGTGTTTTGTTGTTGTTTGTTGTTTCAACCATGTTTGATAGGGATTCAGTGTGTAAAACTGATTAACATCCAGCATTACAGTTAAAGCTAGGATGTACACAACTACATAAAGCAACATGAATTAGATTAAAATGAGTATTGCTTTCTTTTTTTTTACATAAATAACACAGTCCAAATAAAGACTGAATTAAAAAAATCAAAAAGCAGAAACATAATATATGTATCCATCAAAAGATGGATACATATATATATGTATATTTATCCATAACCCTAAACACAAAACACAAGCACATTAGTCAAACAAAGCCCAGCATAGCACAATGTCATCTGCATAGAGGATTTTAACCACATTACTTACGTCTCTGGAGGATGTTGCGGAGTTCCTGTTCAATCCGGAGGCAGATGGACTGAATGAGTTCTTTGGAAATCCTCTGGAAGGCATCAAAGTCTTCTACAGTGTACACATGGGTCTCTGCAGGTGGATTAGCAATGGCCTCAAGCTCACTTCGCACAGCATCCTTAACACCCACAGCAAAAATCTCCACATCAGCATTTCTCAGCCTGGTGGCCGGCTCTTGGAAGGCATCAGAGGATTTTCCATCAGTGATGAGGATGGTGACACGAGGAACATTGGCACGCGCTCCTCTGGCAGCCTGGAATATCTTCTCCTTGACATAAGTCATGGCCCTGCCGGTGTTGGTGGAGCCGCCACGGTATGGGAAATTTCGCACAGCCTTGACCACGGCATTTAGATCGTGGTGAGTGTTCAGGTAGAACTCAGGGTGAGGATCCCTGCTGTACTGGACCAAGCTGATCTGAACTTTGTCAGGTCCAATGTCAAAGGTATTGACCAACACTTCTAGGAAGGCTTTTACTTTGGCAAAATTTGCCAGACCAATGCTATAGGATCCATCAACCAGAAGGACAACATCAGCTTGCACATCCACACCAAGGGAACACTCTGGATAGAAAGAAAAAAAAAAAGTACAAAGTTGACTGTTAAATTCTTTACTGTTCAGTGACAATGATATCTAATGGTGTTTATTCTTGTAGAAAGTTGATAATGAGCTAAACAATGGTGGTGTTGAGAAAGTCTTAATAGCATGTGCTAGTCCTCTAAAGATAATACAACATTTGAACAACAGCAGTGCACAGTTTCCAGTGTGGCTGCAAGTCACACTGAGGCCCCCTGGGGTCTAATCAGGCATAATACTAGCTCAAACTCTATCCCTCTGCTATCAGAATTTGTTTTTTTTAATTGCTTTCCAAAGTCTTGGCAATCATTGGAGAAAATAAGGAAGTATTCTAACTAACAAGCATTGAAATCTGTGAACATTTATTCCAAGAATCACTTTTTTTTGTTTTTAAGATATAAAATTAGTCTTCAGGACTAGAGCTAGAGGTGATGACTTAGACATCACTGGCTTAAATTTGGTCAGCTTTTTTATGGACCTCTTCCCAGAACTTTTTGATTGTCACCTGCAATTTGTTTAGTCTGACATGTGAGCTGATACAATGTTTCCAGGTTTCTTTGCATTATTTACAGCAGAGCGTTGAGACAGTACAGTTTGCCAGAGCCTGCTTATTAAACCACTGATACACTTATAGACATTTTATTCATTAATCTATGCCGGTAGTCAAAGAGAAGTCTCTCTATAAACTTTTACTTTCATTGTTTGGTACTCACCCAGTGAAACTCTAACTGGCAGAGTCTTCTGCATGGCCGTGATGGGCTCGCTGGGTGTCAACCCCTTCAAGGCAAACAGAATGATTTGGTACTCTGTATCTGCCGAGAGACCTCGGACCACCACCGAGGTCTGGCCTGCGCCCACATACAGTTCCTGACGCATGCTGCCAGCCATCATAGGGATCAGCTGAATCTTGTATCCGGAAACATCTCCGATAGAGGGGTCCCACATCAACCGCATGGACTTTGAGATTACCTCCTGGACCTGGAGATTGGAGGCTGGCTCAACAACTACAAAAATCAGAGATGGAATCACAATTATAATGTCATATATTTGGAAAAATTAAATAAAAAATAAGAGACAAAAAATAAGAGTGTATACTGCAATCTACATCAAACTACAGTTTCAACCATATTAAAGGGTAAAAACAAAGGTACAAATGGCAACTTCAGGAGAATGTTTTTTTTAACAACTCAGACTAGGCATGAAAGTAGTAGTTTTAAAGATGTCTCACATTCGTCTCCACTGACGACTACATTGAGCTGATCTTCTACACCAGCGCACATCCGAGTAATGAGCTGTTTTTGCACATTCTTTATCATGTCGAAGGTGGCCACACTGTAGATGTGACTGCCGTAAGGGGTAGAGGCCATTAGCCTCATCTCCTCTTCATCTGCCTGTTGGATACCTACGGGGGAAAAAGACAAACCACAAACTCAAAGCTGTGGTAAAAGCAGAGTGGATGGTTCTTCATGAACATGTGGAAATTGTTGTGGTTTTCAATGCCGGCCAAATTTAGAGATGATTCCTCATTTTGAGCTAAGCTGAGGCGACACCACTGAATTCTTAGCCATCCTTGTAAACTCACTGGCATTGGTTGACGAGGTAACGGGTGCATTTGCTCCAGTTCTGTAAATACTGGATGAAATGAGCAATCTGTAACAAAGTTAAGCGAGCATTTATTTTCCACGTTTGCATATTAAATGCTCTCTTTTCTGTTCCACATTGGTTGGAAAGTCTGACAACATGGGCAGTAAATATGAAAAGGGTTTATGATGCTATACTCCTCTGTAAAACTTTGACACTGTTGGAAGAGTTGTACCCATGCATAGATTTAAGTTTGACTAAGACAGCTGGTATCCTGTGAACTTTCTTATTGAGAGAGGTACTTACTAATAAATATTTTTATTGCTTTTAGACAGGGTCAACTATGATATGGGTTAAAGTTCTTTCATAAGTGCCTATTTGGTGGGGCTGGGGTTTAAACCCAACAACTTTTTGATAAGAGGCACTGAGCAATTACCATTACTTCCTGCACCATTCAGTGTTTCTATAAAACACGTGACCGTAGACCCACAAAAGTTAAGAACTCATATTTGCCAAAAGAAGCCATGTCACTGTAAGCTTTGCCTTAAGACAACTCCACCAAACTCCACCTTTAAGAATCCTTTTAAAGCTCGGATAACCTCCAAAAACATGATGGCTAGCCCGATAAGTTGTCTCTAGGGAACGTAACAGGAAGTTTACAGTGGTCCTCTGACAAAAACTAAAAACCATTAGTGTCTCGCTAAGCAGTTTTCTATCATTGATCTGTTTCCACTGACTGCAAAAGATGAGCTATAAGTCCTGAACCACCAGGCCTCTTTAACTCCATAGCAACATCCCAGGGGTGTTTCTTCGTCTGAGTTTGTGGAAAGTCTGAGCGAAACTGGAGCATAAACACACATAAAACCTGCTATCACTTGCTTGTAGGTTAACGATGTAGGAATTTAACCTTGTTCCATTACTACGTCACCACAGGTTGCTTTTGTTACACACCCCTGCTAAAAGCATTAAATACGAATGGAAAATGTAATGTGGAGTGCAATAAAATTGCTCTGGCTGCATACCGAGGACAAAGATCTCCACCCCCGTGCTCCGGAGCTGTTTGGCATAGCTCGCCACTGGATCCTCAGATTTGCCATCTGTGATGATCACCAGCACTTTGGGGAGACCATTTCTGGCGCCGGACGCCTCACTGAAAGCATTTCTCAAAACGTAGTCCAGAGCGTCACCTGGACCAATGAGAGAGAGAAGAGTTTTACTTCACTGGGTGTTCTTAGATTTAAATTGTAGAATGATGAGGAGAAAAACGACTATTTGATTCAGGAAATCTTTTTGTAGACCAAAACTCAAACTCAGCAATAAACTGAGCAGCAAAATCAGAGATATCACAGAAGGATGAAACACAGCACATAATCATGATGAGAAATCCACCACCAAACCTTTTGACATTTAATACTCTGAGGTACCTTCATTGATCATGCGCTCCTTCAAGTTTGATATAAACTCCATTTTTTCTTTCTCTTTTCTTGACGAAATTTTATATTACTTGTAATTTTCTTGATCTGCCTTCTGAACATTTCATATGTGGTCTGTTTCAAAATTTGAGGATATAAAATGAGCATGGTCTTAGAAGGAATGGTTCAAATTCAGTGGCACTCCTGGCATTTCTGATTTCATCTTGCACTATTCAGGCACTACTTCACTCTGCATACAGTTACTGTGAGCTACTTTGCACCCCACCTCTAATCCAGCTCTTCCATTTCATGCTGTATCTGACTTAATCATTGTCATTTCTCTTATTATCAATGCCTGCTCTGTTTTGTCAGAGGGTCCTGCTGCTGCTCTCTTTCCATGTACACCCATGGAAGGGCGGGGAGGTCCCAGATCAGAGTGATCTCGCCAAATTTAAATGACTTCACTTGCAATAACAATCCCGTTTTGACTCAAGTGGCCCTGACAAGGCTGCTTTATTGCCTTCTCAGCAAGTTAAACTGTGTGTAATGTGATTATAATTTTATTTCCCTGTACTTTAATGGATGTGTTTTTAATTCCCTTACATCCCAGAGATTTGCCTGCATATTTGTCAAGTGAGCCAAGCGAGACACACGTGAAATGAGCACTCACCTCACAAAAACAAATCACTCTTTAACAGCCATGTATTAAAAAACGATTATGCTTGCTACCAAAGATAAACATCCCCCTTAAAAAGGGTGTTACCGATTGAAAATGTCCCAGGTCAATTTAACTCCACAGAAAACCCAAAGAACTGAACAGCATCAACAGATCACCTGTGTTCGTGTTGCCTCCTTTGTACGGCATTGAGCCGATGGCCCGCAGAAGCGCCGGTCTGTTCTGGTGTTCGTTCAGGTTGAACTCAGTCCTGGCGTCATCACTGTACTGGACCACGCCTACCCGGGTTTTTTCCTCGCCGATATGAAAGGCTCCGGCAGCCGCAGAGATGAAGGAGCGAATGTATTTGAAGTTTGGCCTGCCCACACTCCAGGAGCCGTCCACCAAGAACACCACATCGCCAATGATGCTGGCAGAGCATCCTGCAAAAAAAGTTCAAGAATGAAAAGGAAGAAAACGCTGAACATTAAACAGATTTTAAAGATGGTGTGATTTATCAGAAAAATTTAAATTTTCTGCCGCCATATGTGAGTAATAGCCTTGGACTTTAGGTTTATTCAGTGACAGTACTTTCTCGATAACGTTAATATTCTTTGTTGAGACTAAAAAAAACCCACTCAGTCTTATTTTAGATTAAATAATGAGTTTTAAAGCCAAAACTGATTTGCATTGTTCCACTTTTGGCTCTCTATTTGTTTGGTTAATGCTTGAAATTAAGGCCTGAGGGTTAAACTAAGATGTCAGTAAATATCCCACTCATCAAGTTGAATCCTGTACATGTGCCAGAAAAAGCATTTGCTAACAAGTGACTCAATGAAGCTTCAGAAGTTGTTGGCTACATCAAAGATCATCACGCCAAACAGCTCAGCAGTGCTGGTGTTCAAGTCCTGCCACTGTGTAGACCTGAATGTAGATGTTTCTTCTGATTTTTGGGTTCTTCTCTCTAACGTTAGAACAGTAGAACCTTCAGCTTACAGTATAAAGTAGCATACTTTTAGTTGCCTAATCCTAAACTTTTAAACAGACCTTAACCACTCAAATTTTACTTGGGGGTGTTAAGATGTTGGATTTACTCTCATTCACTTTTCTCAGCTCAGCATGTTTTAAAGTCATTATTTTTTGTTAATTTAGACACTGTTTGTTGAACTACACTTCATTGTCTCTCCTCTGCCCTGCTTTCTGGGAGTTTCCTCGTGACTTTCCCCTCATGAAGAGAAGGAAAATTCTGCACAACCTCGTCATCGTGTGCAGAACGGGGGCCAGGGCAGCAGTGGCAGCAGCAGCGCTCTTGTAAATCAGCATCTGTAATGGTTTCCACTTCTCTCAGCACTTCGGGGCTGGGTTCAGCTCACTCCCACAGCTCCAACAGCAGCAACCTCCCACCACACCTATGACCCCCGCCGCACTGAGCATGTGCAGCTTCCTCCGTATTGGCATAACTGCTCGGCAGGGAACCAAATCGATGACCAAATCCTTCAGAGATTTATGGGGGCCTAATTTTGATTATTGCTATACAATGGGGTGTTTGTAGAGCCTTCCTTCACTGCTAAGCTCACACTGATGAACACCGCCCAGAAGAAAACCCACGAACAAAAAGTCGAGGAGGTACAGCAGTGGATTTATGACTCATCATTATCTGAGTAGGAAGTGAAACCCCTGGTCAAACTAAGGTGTGTAATAAGTGAACAAAAGTACTCACTGACTGAATCTGAAGCATCTGGTTTCCTGGAAGTTCCTCTTCTGCTTCCACTAGATTCAACTGAAAGACAATGAAACAATCGCGTAATTACAAAAGTCTGAGACAGTTCATATCATCTATTGTGCTGAAATTATCCTCAGGAAACCCAATATCTTTACAGTGATGACATGTTATGAATCATTTTCTGTCACTGTTTTTCTTCATCTGAAGGCAGACCTCTGAAATCAGCCCAACTCTTGTGTTTTAAATTTCCCTACGTAGGATTTATCCTCTCGTCAGAGGGTTTCTTGAGTGATTTTTTTCTTTTTCTCGATGCAACAAACTTCCAAATGAGCTCCCAAATGGAGAAACTGTCAGGTTGACGTCATAGTTTGTGTAGGATTTCCAGCATAGCTCAAGCTCAGAGGGCTTCTCAGATCATCAGTTGTCCCCACCAAAAACTGCTGCCATGATGTCAGTGATGACCTCAGTCAAAGCCTGAAATCTGGGTCAGTGTCTCATTTCATACTTTTGCTTGTAAACATCATAAACATGGTTTAGGCCTATTCCTGGTTTGACAATCTGAAACATTTCCTTCCTTCCTCTGAACACCAAAGTGCTTTACATTTTATTTACAAGTTGTTATCTTTAAATGTCTTCAGTCTTTTCTATTGGTTGATTTTTAACTACAAACCTCTCCTTGGAGTGGTTTCCTCTAACTGCTGTTCATGTGTGAGTAAAAACCATAATCAGTATGACTTTATTCCTCATTGTATTTTACAATTGTTTGGTCCGAAACAGAATTAGGCAAAAAGGTACTTTTTGCAAATTCTTTCTTCCTTTTTTTTTAATGTTCCAAAATGGTAAAAATGTCTTTATATGGTGTTAAATGAATCTGAACTAGGGCCAGGCTTAAAAAAAAAAATCTAATACCTCTTAGTGCAATAAGATGGTGCAGTATGTTAATACAAACATTATTTGAAGGTACTTTTTCAAAAATGACATTCTGCAAAATGTACATAGAAATTTCACCAAAAGGGGCAATGTTTTGAAATGTGTGCTGCTGTTATCCTTTGGTATCTGCCCCCTAGTGGTGAACATTTTAGTAACATGTTAGTAAGGGTGATTCCAAAAACTACCTTTAATTATGCTGTCCCTATCTCCTGGAAAAATCTGAGTTGATTACTATGTGGGAATTTAAGTCAGTGTTATAGAACTGAGAAAATAATACTGGTAGACGTTGCGTCCACTGACTGTAGTGTTTGACAGTTGTATTTGTGTGTTCATGCTTATATCAGTTATCTTTTAGGCCAGGTAACTCTTGAAAATAGGTTTTTAATCTCACCAAGACCTTTATCTCAATAATAACAGGCTGTAATAATTCAAAAATGTCTTCAGCCAAGTGACCAAAGTGAATAATGAAATTTTATCTTTTGGTGCTGGAACTGTTGATTATGGTAAAGTAATATAGAGGAAAAATGTTGATGGAAATCTGTGGTAGACACGCTACAGGTTACTGTTTTCCAAGTGCAGAGGAACAAATTGTTTTTGAATTGCAAAAGGGTCAGAAGAAGCAATGCCTACATATAAATTCTCATTGCACAACTTAATGTAGCCATTATATTTGCACAATACAATTTGAGCTGCTCTTGTGTCTTTTTTCTGTAATTAGGTAGTGGTAAACTGTTCAAAAAAATTCTGTAAATATTAAAACCCCTCCCTTCTGCATTAAAAAAAACCCACCTTTGAAGTCATGTTGTTTGTGTTGTTCCTCGTGCCTGTTTTCAATTGTCTTATTTTTGCTCTCGAATTTATGGTATCAATGAGTAAGCCAAAGACAATTTTCTGTCTCTCCTAAGTAACTCTCAGACTAATAACCAGTAAAAGCAGCAGTTGAGAAAAAAGGCTCACAAGCATGATTGTTTGGTGGATTTTTTCTAGAACTTCTGACCATATCACATGGTGTTCACCAGCAGAATGGAAACTGTATACAACTGGAATCTGTCCTGGCTGGTTTCCTGTGCTGCAGATTTGCTTAAATCTGTCAAGTCAGACTTTTAGTCTACAGTTTTTAAACTTTGGCAAAGCTAAAAATTGTCTTAACTGACTCCAAATGTCATGCTAAATGGACCTTGTGGTGAGCTTGCTTTGTGATTTACTGTTTCCAGGATAAAGAATTAAATACAAACCTATTTTTAAGTCAAATTAAAGCAATTTAAATAAAGAAATACATTTGAGGTTGTTTCCTTGAATGACGAACAGTCTGCTGTACTGAAACACCAAAATACTGAAACTAATGTAGAAACCGAGCAATGTTATTAACATATACTGGTGAAAGAGCAACACCTGGCAGGTGTTTCTCTGTTATCTTCCACACTCGGTGTTAGTTTGTGGGCCAACATGCCATCCTGACTTCCTGCCAAAAACTGACCAGCTGCAGATTAACCTCACAAGCTTTTTATGGGACATCTGGCATTGATTTCCACAAGCACACAAATGCAGAGACACGGTGACTCACGTGTGATCTGGCCGGAGATGGGCAGACTCTGCTCTGATCCAGAATATGCAGTTATTGTTACGGCATAATCCACATCTGGAGTCAGGTCTGAAATGGAGGTCTTAGTGGCAGATGCAGGAAGAGTAAATTCTTTTGTTGGTTCTTCTACAAGAATGCACAAAGTCAGAGGGAAGTTATTAGGAAACTATTACATGACTTGATTTCTCCAAGAGTCAATACAGGGCTTCAGAAAAACCTGATTTCGACTGCTGACCCGGGGACTGGAATAGCTATGTAAACACACAATAGTATAATTCGATTTGATTAAAAAAAAACTTTCTTTGTTACTATAAACCAAAACACACATTATTTTAACCCTTTAATTCCCCTGAAAGTTCCATAAGATGAATGCTAATTATTTGTTAAAAATATCTTAGCCTCAGTTAATAGAAATGAACAATATTAACAGATTATATTTAATGTCAAAACTTTCTCTAATATTTCTGTGCCTCTAATAACTGAAACTGTAAAACATACAAACTAATTTTCAGTTACTTTTTTATTTAACAAAAAAGAGAAACGTAAAAATATTTACTGTTATATATTAGGCCTATTTCTTGACAAAACATATCAACCTTGGTGTTTATCAGTTACCCATCCTAGCTTATTTATTCAGTATTTGTTTTTAACATCGTTTGAAACTTTTCTAGGTTGACGTTTTTGTAGGTTGACTTTTTTTTTTTAAATAAAAATGACTCTCGTTTTGCTATCTCAGCAAAAAAAAAAAAAAAAAAAAAAAAGCTTACTGGCTAATCTATTTGCTAATTGACATGAATAGAAAGGCTAAGTTAGCTATATGGGCAGTTAGTCAAGGTATGTAACTGTTATTCTTATTTCTTAGTCAATATAGAAGTGCAAGCTACAGTTTTGGAGTTTGGTTAGCTAGCTAATAGTATGTAGCTGTTACAACTTGTTGTTGATGAATATACATATTAAAGCTAATATTAGTTCTGTTAGTTAGCTCGTTCAGCAACAGCAATGATATGTCACATTCACATCATAGCCTCATCAATTTAGTCCTTGTAAAGCCTTCATGTTGAAAAGCTAATAATCTCAGTACCTGTTTCTTGTCAGAAAAGATCTGTTACTTAGTACACTTTCTTAAGATGGCTTTTCAATAGCAATTGCCCATAAATAACTAAACATTAGCTCTGTTAAATAAAAAAAGTGTTTCACTTACTTTTACTTACATGTTTGTATTTAAACTGATGCTAGTTTTGTTAACTAGCAACAGTACGTCCCTTACCTGTCAATGATTTGACAGGTAAGGGGTTCTGTTAATTAGTGTCTGCGTTTGATCATATGTGAGTGGACGTTAATTCTTTTAGTTAGTAACAGCACATTGCATACCCCTGTGAGTGTTTGAATGTTAGTTAGGTGTAAATGACATATTTTTACTATCTACATTTGACTTTGTGTAAGCTGATGTTAGCTCTGTCAGCTATTAAAAGTATGTCTGTGTTTGATTGTATACAAGTTGATGTTAATTTTAGTTAGCAACAATAAGTCACTTACACCTGGCAACATTTAAATATATATAAGCTAAATTTAGTTCTATTACTCAGTGTATGATGTTAGTGCTATTTTTCCATGCATAAGAAGAAACTTGTTCTCACGTAAGTTTTACTAACAATTTTTGAAATTATATAGAATACAGAAGTCTTAGTTGAGGACATTTTACTGGGTTCTAAATGATGATTCTGAAATATAAGTTGGTGACTGTCAGCATGCAAACTAATGTTAGTTCTATCAGTAAGTTAGTATAATATAGTACAAGTATATATACTCTAAGGCTGTGCTTCGTGAAGATGTTGAAACAGCACATGGTCTTTCTGAAAGTGGTGAGTTATTTTGGGTAAAGTCTTGGATCATTTGAAATAATAGCTCTTCTTTTTAAATCTATGCATAAATATCTCAGCTATTACATAAAAGGTCTTACATGTGCATGCCTGAGCTAAAGTAACACAGATTGCAGTTTGCAATGTCAGTGCTGGCAAAGTTCAGCACTGGCAACCGATGATAAGATTTCTCCATTCATAATGTTTTTCCTTTTTTATCATTAGAAGCTCCTGGAGCTAAACTTGTGTCTGCAGAAACCTTTAGATAATTGCGGTAAGTGCTGAGTCCTGTCAGGTTGAGTGAAATCTTTATGACACTTGTAATGTTACAGGCATGACACGACAGAACCTGCACCAACCTGTGTCTGAGGTCACTTCTATTCTGTAACCCTGTATCCTCGACCGTGGTCTCCTCCACATCATTTCCACTGAGTTCTCACTTAAAATCCTAAATCTTAAGTCTGATGGAGAGTCCACTGTGAAGAAAAAACATCAATGTAGTTAGCACTTTATCTTTAAGAGCGAACTGTATTGTAGTGATCATCATAAAAAAGGACCAACAGTCAACACTTCCAAGGTGAAGTTAGACAAGTTCACTGTTGGTGCAAACAACACAAGACGCACCAAACTACAAATGAGAGGAAAGCCATTTTGAAGACAAAAAAATGACCTCCGTTTGGCTCGTGTGGCTACAATCAACAACTCAGGCAACAGACCAAGAAAAACAAACACAACAAACACAACACAACGGTATCTAAAACTTAGGAGGAACACAAAAAGGGTTCATATATGAGACCAGGTGAATTTCGGGCCTGATCACGAATACGGAAGCAAAAAACAGGTCAAATGAATTTTAAGAGCAACAAGCGATGGCATGTATTTAAAAAAAATGCGTTTGAGGTCTTTTAGGAGTCTTTATTCGACTCGTGTGGGGTTTACCCTCCCACCTTTTATGTAACATTTTAAAATCTTTGTTGATTGGTAAAACCATATTTATAAAATTAAGACAACAGCATCTAAAATGAAAAATTCAACATCAAACACTTAATCAATCATAAATGGTATTACTGACACCACTGTTCAGCCACATAGCTTTATTGTGAGACTTTTTTGTTTTTATATCCTGACATTGCTAATTCAATCTTATTAAATGAACTTCATTTTTTTTAAAATATTGTATTGATTCAGTTTAAATGGGGGTCCTAACGAACAAAACCTTTAAGGAATTAAAATTTGAATGATGACTGTTTTCTAATTAAAATTTCACTGCTATTACCTGGTGTTTAAATTTGAACATTAACAACTCAATATACAGTATTTCCCAACTACATAATTACATGGCGATCCCTAGAGTGAACAGCCACAATAATAATGATAATAATAGTAATAATAATAAGATATAATTATATTTAAAAAATATTCAAGGGTTTTGGCCTGTGTTTGCTTCCGTACCTCTCATGGATGCAGATAACAACGCCTTTTAAATATTTTGAATCCTGAAATGTTTGTGGCTGGTGATGTCATTTTTTTTTTTAATTTTGAAAATCACCAGTCACAATCTCCTCCTGTCAGCTAACTCCAACATGGACTGACGGACATCCAGCAGTCTGTCCATGACCTCAATCCAACACAGGATGTTGAATTGACCAAGAAAGTGCTGATTATACAATGGATAAAGACTGGAGTCGTCACTCTCATTGTCTCCATTGCAAACCTCATAAAAGAATACACAATGTCAGTGCAGACATGTGTACATCTTTTTCTTATGTTTCCAAAGAATCTACACCAGAGGTTCTTAAACTATTTAAGTCTAAAAAAAAAAAAAAGCATCCATAATCTACCTTTGTTGGATATTTACCATAAAGTTAAGACTCCAAGAATACTTCTAGGATTCGGATCATAGTTTAAGAACCACTGGTCTTTGTCATGTTAACCAGCAAACCAAAGTGACATGGAGGATAATAATTATATTTATTCACAGAGCATGTCTCTAAACGTATGTTATCAACTTCTTTCCACAAGCAACAAAACAAGCAGATCATGCACGTGTACATGAAAAGTTGTTGACAACAACTTAGGACAATGGACAAAAAGTTTCCATGTACACGAGGGACCACAGACTGTTTTTAAAGAAATATTTTAAAATGATATTCTTCAGGTTGGGGTGCTTATTTATGATGCTCTAGCTTGCTATCAAGATAATACACAAAGATGTTGACTCTAACTTGGTACTACAAAAAAGACATTCAGTCACGATACGGCTTTAAATAGCTGAATATAAACACAACTGTCTGTCTGGCTCAGGCACAAAAGCAGAGACAAATCTGTTTCTATAACAGGAAGTGTAACTTTGTTCCTGACAAATGAGAATAACGGTTTTCAGTAATTTCTTTCTTGTCAATAAATCCCACACAAAGCTCCCAAGTGGTTTATATTTTTCAAAGTGATTGAGTAATTTCCAAAAACAGCTGTTCAAAGCTGAAGATTTTGGCGAACATACAGGAGAGCACACATTTGGGACTATATTTAGAGGCGGATTAACACAAATATGGTGCCCATGTTTGCCAGAATCAAAAACTGAGTCCATCAGTCTTCTGAGGTCTACAGTGGAGCTCTATGGCAAATAGAAATATTAAAGAAGGTGACTTATTACCAGAAGGAAACATCCGCTGTTAGTTTGGGTTTTTTTGTGGGATTGGTTGACTGTAAAGAAAAACAGGTGGAACAAACAGGTGGAAAAACTGTGTCTAGTTCTTAATCTTTTCATGCTGCAGGAAGTTTATCAGCACATGTTCGCAGCGGGTAACCTGAGCTCCGGAGTTTGTAATCATCTCATCAACCTTTCCAGCTGCACGGATTAAATAAATCTAAATACAGATGATCTAGCTACAGTTTATAGATTAGCCGGGATTTCTAGACCACCAACCAGTTGTTTTTAATGTTAGTGTGGGGGAGGGGTGAAGAATATCACTGTAAAATATTGTCGTGAAGCCAAGACTGGGGGGTCAAGGCTTGACCGGGGAAGGTTACAGGACGTTAAAAATGGAGGAACCACCAACCTGGTGAATCAATTCAAGGGCCGCGTGGGGGAGGGGGCCGCTGCTTCTGTTTCTGAACGGGGGGGTATCACAGCCAAAAACTACCCGACAAACTTCAGCTTTTAATCCAGACACACACTGTTACCATCCACACGCACATTCATCCACATTTTAAACACATCCAGGGCTCGGTTCTAAACTGATTTTATTCTGCAGTTCTTGCCCTGAAATGTGACTGTTTGGAGCCTAGCCCTTCCTGTTTGGAGGCTTCTTCGTGTTCAAGGTGTTTCAGCCTTTAAGTCCAGCCCTAGCATCAAACTATTGTGGAATATATGTGACCCATTACTGTGCCGTGACCCCTGAAAAGGCAGCCAGGGGCCCCGTTGGGACATTAAAGACAGAGAGGGGGTCTCAGGAGGTCAGAAAGTCTCTTGGAAAGGAGAGAAGAAGAAACTTTCCTTCTTTCTTTTTTAACTGTGCTTTCTTCTGCTTTTATTCTGGGATGATCCAGATTTCAGTGCAGCCAGTTGTCTCCTGTCCTAACCTCTGAAACCTCTGGAAAATAACGCGAAACTCATATTTTGTCTTTCCGTTCCATCGGGAGAAAATACGTAGGGAGGAAACTTGGCCACGTGCCGCCTGGGCTTTTTCCTTTTTTCCTCTTCTACTTTTTTAAAACTGGAGGAATGTAATCTGTAGTAACAGGCAGTCGGGGATTTTGAGCAACGGCGCCTCCTGGCGTTAAAAACTTAGACTGCATTTAATTTTAATCACTTTTTTTTTCTTTCAACATTTAAGAACAAGACTGCTTTGGTTTTCAATTACAGGAAAAAGGTGATGATATTCTCACCATATATCTGATTTGTTTTTTTTTGTTAATCACCAACATGAAGCCACATCTAACTGCACAATTAAATCTGAGCTGCATTCATGCTTGCTCTCATTAAGTTGAATTTCACGGTTTAACATGCTTCGAAAACAAAAGTAATAATAAAAAACCCTCCCGTTTAGAAACTCAAACTCAATGTATTTCAAGCTGAGGTCGTTTTTCTCTTCAAACAGAAATTCTTGATGGAAAAGTGAATCACTGGATCACAAAAAAATCATCAAACAGAAGTTAAAATCAGAAGATCAAACAAATCAATCCACAGGTACACATTTGCTTCAGTGATTTTTTTTATTCATTTAGACCAAAAGTGCAGCTACACACAGCAGGCAGAGGAGAGACAGAGGTGAGAGGAGGTGGAAGAATTCAGATGTGTTGAATTAAAAGATGTGGAGGAGGAGGAGCGGCTTTACCTTGCTCCTGGGCCTGAGAGGAGGACAGCAGCAGTGCCAGGACGGCAGCAACCGCTGCCAGAGAGAGCCTACTCTTCATCTTCAGCTCCGCTGGTCTCAGCAGTGCATGAATGAAACTGCGAGAGGAACCAAGGAGGCAGTTAAACTCCCTCAGGGCTTCACAAGACTTAATCCTATCTGAACGAGAACCTTGGAGCTCATTAATCTTCATTCAAATCTATATCAGGCTGAAAAGTTATCAGAATACTCCGCTTTGGAGAGAGGAATGAGTCTGAAAGTCATCCTGACGCTTGAAAAAGTTCCACAAGCAGCGACAAAAGACTTACACGACAGACTTCATATGTATAAATGTCTAAATCTCGCCAAAATCTACATATTGAAACTTTTAAAACTTCCCACAAAAGTCCCACATAAGCAAATCATTAGCTCATCTTTCCCCGTCAAATTCAGTTTTTCCACTTTCTAAAGGAGCTCGAGTTATTGTTGCATTAACTCTGCAGACTCCAATCAAGTATTTAATATCTCCGCCTGATGAAAATGACCCACTCTAACGGGCACAAAGTCTTTCCACTTGATCTTAATGGCGAGTTATGCCGTAGCGCCGTGCGCAATTACGCACGGCAATGTCGAGAAATAATCCAGGCATTCACAAAATAGTCCAAATAAATATAGAAATGAATGGAATATTATTGAATTCAGATAGCTCAACTTTTAAACCTGAAAAAGCCTGTAATAAGTCGTGACAAAAATAATCCCCCACAGATGGTACCAAAAATGTAAAAACCATGCACGACTGACCTATAGAGATGACTGGCTGAATTTTAGTTTTGCTTAAAAAGAAAAAAAAAATGAAAAGGATAAAGGCTTCGCTGTAGACCCCCAGCCCGACACAAGGGAGAGTGAGGTGGTACGGAGTTGAAGTCAGAGCGCTCCGCGGATTTCTGCTTCCCAGACGCGTCGGCGAGCCTCCTTCCAAGTGGGAAGAGTCTCCACACAATCTGCTACTTAACAGGGGGGCTGCTCCCAGCTCTGCCTACCCCGCCGCGAGCTCTTACGACATCCAGTCGGGCCAAAAGTGATGTGTAACCTCTGAAAATGCAGCACGGAAGGACTCACACACTCGGAAACTTTTACATAGTTTTCTGCATTCCTTTCCGGTGATGAAGGGCTTCTGTGCGTCTCGGCCGCAAGGAGACAGCAGCAGAGCGGGGTCGCGGGGGATTAGAGGGGGGAAACTGTCAGAGGTTTTTACCCACTTTAAATTTTGTGAATCAACGGGAAAATATTACACAGTCTAGTAAACGAAACCCCGCGTCAGTCTTTTCCTTTTTAATCTGGAGTCCAGGGCCGGAACTGAAGTTTCTGGGGTCCTGGCAGGAGCTCACTAAGCTGGAGCAGCTGCTTCAACTCAGTTCCACTCTGTGATCTGAAAGGTTACTCATAATATAAAGAATATACATGCAGTGTCCTAAAGGAAGTCCAGATATTTATTATATTTTTTAAAAGGACAGGATGTAGATTTTACTATAATAGCTCCAAAGTTGATCTGGGGCTTCCAGCATTCATCTGTTTTTAAGGTATCCAAAATAAATTGTTACATTATCAAGACTCTACTGTATGATACTGGCGACTCTGGTGTGCAGAGGCAAAATGACCCCAAAATTATTAACTTCCCCCAAATGATTACATGTTCATACACTCCACTTAGACCATCATTGATTTTAGTCTTACACAGAACCCTATGAGTCCGAAAATATTAGGGCACTGAGGGATGGTACCACCAATACTTCCAACTGAACCTATAATTCGGTACAGTAGATACTACAAAATACAGTAACTGACAATTTGTCAAAGCACATTAAAAAAATCCACCCTTATTTCTAAAGTTTCTGCTCCCAAAATTTGTAAAAGTAACTGTGAAATTGCTTGGCTGTTGTAATCCTTTGTTATGGGGCCTCTTTAATTATTATTTTTTAAACCCAATTGTCAAAACTTTCTCAAATTCAACGCAGCAACCTGAGTAATGATTTTGTGAACTTATTTGTGAACCTATTTTCCAACTTTTAAGGGTATCAATTAAATTATTTTTTGCTATATCTCCTCCAAAAATATCCAAGTTTTCACAATTTTAAAGGTACAGTGTGTAAAACCTCACCAATGGACAAAAGACTGCAATCAACTGAGTTCTGTTTTTTTTAACTCCTCCCATTTCAACAACAACAGAATCCTAACTACAGTGGTTGCTGTAGGTCAAACAAGTCTGGCCACTGTTCATCTGTAGTGAGTGTAGGCTGTCAGCACACTGTTTACCTCAGCTGTCATTATGCTGGGTTTCCACATCAATTTACTCTGGAGTGTGCTTTTACATTTTGAATAAGAGTCGATGATTAAGAAAAGCTCAGTTCTGTCCAGTGATAGCAGTAAGGTGTCATTGGAGGAGAGTGGGGATGTCCTGAACTTTTCTGAATTAACTCTCATATAATGTGAGAATGCAGTGTATATATGAGGAAAAGTGTGATTTAATAAAAAATATTAGCTGGCGAAATGTTAACTTACAACCAGCTGTTGTTGTTGTTGCTTAGCTGGCCCATAGCTGTCTGCAGACGACAGGGTTGAATGTCTATTCTCCTGACAATAAGTACTTTTGACTATGTTGGCAATAAATGATCATGAGCTGAATGTTGATGGAAAAAGACTAATCTCCATGTCCACTATTTCCATATGAAGGAGTTATTATTTACACTCATCCAACTCACAAAATACACGAGAACAGCATATTTTACCTTATGTTTAAATGTTATTTTGCTGTTGCTACTGTTATTGTATTATTGTAAGGTGACCTTGAGGGTCTTAAAGGTGCCTATAAATAAAATGTATTATTAATATTGTTATTAGTAGTAGTAGTAGTAGTAGTATATTTTTCTAGTTTGATTAACGATAACAGACATAATCTAAAGTTTTTATTTGATACCAACAACAAACTTCTTCATCCTCCTCACTCTGCTATCACTCCAATATATTCTAATGACTGCGAAAAAATTCACTGGCAAGATCAACAGTATCAGATCACAGCTCAAGTCTGTACCCGTTTAACCACCCAAGTCGCTCACCCATTTCTGTTGTCTGAGTTCAAACCATTTCTTCAATAGCTCTTTTGGATATAGTCTCACATATCTGCACTTTACCCTGTCAAACGGACATTATGCCTCCTAAATTCATTAAAGAGTTTCTCCCTGTCATCTCCTCCAGCTTCTCTCTATTGTCAATCAGTCCCTTTCATCAGTCAGTTCCAGATTACTTTAAAACAGCCGGCATCTGTCCTCTACTAAAAAAAACCCTCCTTAGATCCCACTGTTTAAAATAATTAAAGGCAAATTTCCAGACTCTCGTTTATTTCCAAAATCCTTGAGAAAGTTTATGCTTGTCGGCTCCTTCAGATTGTTGAAGGAAACAACATCTTTGATAAATGCGGTTACAGACATTATTGAAAATTACTAACAACAACCTTATGCGCTCGGATGAGGGTGAACATTCCATTTTAGTCCTGCTCAGCTTATCTGAAGCCTTTGATACTGTTGATCATGCTACTCTTATTAGCAGACTACAAAACTGGGTTGACATCAGTGGCACTGCTCTCAAATGGTTTTCTTCATACTTATCAAACAAATATTTCAGAATTCATATTAATCGATGTATATTGTAATCTGTAATGCTTGTATGTGGAGTGCCACAGGGCTCAATCCATGGACCAGTTCTGTTTCTTTTATGTTACTGCTGAGCCAACAAATTGATGGTTTTATTGGAATCTCCTACCACTACTATGCAGACGACACACAGTTATATTTTTCTGTCGAGCTCAACAACCTCTCCTGTCTCCTGTTTTGCTTTTGTTTTTTGCCATTATTAATTGGATCTATTCTAATTCATTCCTGTAGACCTGAGGTTCCAGTCCTCAGCCCAGGCAGCTAAGGGAGGTAGTACAACGGCCCCCTCACCAATAATATACAATCTTGGTATCACTTTTGATCAGCACCTGAATTTTGAAAATCATATCTCAAAGATTACCCAGTCTTGTTTCCTTCATTTGAGAAATATTGTAAAAATCAAACTTTTAATGTCAGTAAGTCATCTTAAACTTTTAGTACACACTTTGATTATTGCAATTTACTTTTCACGTGTGTCTCTCAGTCCTCCAAATGGTAATGGCCTGCATTTGTATAGCGTTTTTCTAGTCCTCAAAGCTCATCTTCAATAGGCAGCAGCAAGGCTGCTAACAAAAACTAGCTGGCAGTCTCATATTACACCTATTCTTGCATCCCTTCACTGGATTTCAGTGTAATTCAGGATCTACTATAAAATTCTGTTATTAATTTATATAGCTGCTTATTTACCTGAGCTTCTAACATCTTATCCATGAAGCAGACCTCTCAAAGACCCCTCTAACCAGGGCCTTCTTTCCCTCGCTGTGATTTTAAAAACAGAGGTGATCTGTGCTTTTGAGATTGTAGTGCTCAAACTGTGGAACAGCCTTCCTCAGTCAATCAGATCGGCCGACTCTGTTATTTGTTTTAAGCGAATGCTGAAAACTCTTTTTTATAGAGTTTCATTAATCCGTTCCCTTCATTCGTTGCCATAGTTTGAAACCATGTGTGCATGTATGTGTGTATGTTGGAATAAATGTTTGTCGGTGAGGCTGATTATGTGTGTATTTATGTGTTTGTATGTTTTAACATGTACATTTATCTTCAGTGTGTGGCTCTTATTTGAAATGTGAAGCACTTAGTAACTCTGTGTTTTGAAGAGTGCTATATAAATAACGTTGTTATTATTATTTTTTATTTATTTATTTATTTTATGTTTGTTTTAGAGCCTTGGCTTCAGTTCAGGGGCTATATAGTTTGAAGGAGCTAATTATGGGCTTGATATTTAGAGTAACTTGTAAGGTTTACTACATATGTGGTCCATCTCTAGGCAACTACCCAAAACGTAATTAGACGGAATGATGGCATTCATCTCCTCCACGTGGAAGCCACGGCAACATGGCGGCTTCCACAAACCTGCTCCTATGTATTTTTAATAGATTAATTCTAAGTTTACAACTACACATCAGTTTTTAAAAGATGTAAATACACACTAATAAATTGATATTTATGAGGATACAAGCTTTTTTCCTGTTAAATAACAAACAAAAAAAAAACAGAAAAAGACTCACTGTAACTTTAAGATGCAATAAATCTTAACTCACAACTAATCTAAAGGTAGTTGTAGAGCCCTCAAATGTATACATGTGAGTTTGTAACAACCCTAGCTGATGAAAAACTAGGATTAACATGTTACAAAAAACTTTTGTTTCAAACCAATAAACAGTATGACGAAAAGGCAAAATAAGAAAATCTGTTAGATTTACATGTCACATTGACAGACGTGTTGTATTTAGCATATGTAACTAAACAAAAATGCCGCTACGTTATTTAAAGGACCTTTTTATAAGAACTGAAGTAAAACCTTCACCAGGAGGGGGCAATGTTTGACCAGTGTGTGTCAACCTCCTGCGTCATCTTGTGGAGCAAATTGGTATTACACAAAAGTACAGCCCAGCCCTAGTTTACCTTCATTTGGTATCTTTTAGACACAAAGGTTAAGTGGTTATTTTTACACAATCTGTGTCTAGCTTTTGTTCGGTTCCACTGTGGTGGCCTCTTTTGACACGGGAGCAGCTGAAGGTAGAATTTATTATATTTGGTTACTTTTAAACTATTTTAAACAAAAGGTACAGGAATGGAGTGCAGCAATGTTGTTTAGAAATAAATTGTATTGTGTTATAACCTTAAAGTCTATCATACCACCATTTTTACAATAAAATCAGCTGTTAAATCATGTTCAACGAAATGAAGAATGGACTATTTAGCACCTTCTGGAGGCTGAGAAGCTCTCATCAGCTCAGGAGCACTGCAGCACACACACATTTCCAACCACCCCTGCTGCTTATTACTTAAATATTTCTCCAGCATTAGTGTTATTTTAAGCAGACATGTAGCATTTACTCTCTTTGTCTCTCTCTCTGTGGTTTTCAGCACTGTTCAATCACAGAGTTAAAGTGTTAAATGATCTGTGGTGGGTGTGGGCTGATAGCAGAACTGGCCTGACATGCTCGGGTGAATTAAAACAGACAACAGAGAAGAACCCACCCAACAGAAACTGCAGATGAACGTGAGGTCCGTGCCAAGAGAAACATGTATTCTCAGAAGGTTTCTCATAGTGCTCCCTGCTGGATTTTCCTTCCTCTTATTTTTGCACATATACATGAACACTCCAAACAATATCTCATTATTAAGAAGATTAAATGTCTCATTAATCCTTGCACACAGATTACAGAGGCTTCACTGTCAGTCTGTCCTCAAGTCTCTGTTGATTTATTTGGATATGGCGCCCTCCCCTGGCAGAAGAAAGAATTTTTTTGTCTCTTTTGTTCGAAGTTTTCAAATCAGTCAAATATGAGAAAAGCTCCCACATGACCACCCCCAGAATAAATAAGAAAAAGAATAATAACTTTACTGAAGTATATTTAATGCAAAATTTTACATTCATATTATGAAGATTTTCTGAGTTAAATGCCCTCAAAGTACATAGGAGTGGGCTGCAATGCCACTGCTGCAAATGCATAAGGACAATGAAAAACAACTGAAAAATAACTTTATGCTCCGTTAAAAACTGCAAATAAATATTAGACGCAACCCAAGAGTCACAATGCAAAGACTTAATCTTTCAGTTTGTTTTTATATGAATATCAGTATCCTAGTTTAACAGCCGAACTGCACCCGTTTAACATCTGTGATGCAGAGGAACTGATACTCTGGATGTTTGACCTGCTCTTTGAGAATTCACTGCAGAAAACTTCAAAGTGCATTTTGGACAAACGTTCGAGGGTCATATCACCATGTGGGAAGCTGGCTGAACAAAAGTTAAAGCATATGAAAGGTCTTTTTTTTTAAACATACATTCTGACACCAGGCTCATCGTATAAGCTGCCATGGGTAAAAATACTTTTCAAATACAGTTTTTATAGCATGAAGGCAAACCTTAAATATACTGAAATTAATCAGCTGATTATGCGACGGTAAAATTACAAACCCTTAAAAATCTAGTTTTCGTCAATAGTGTAGTACCTGCCTTATCCCTTTGGGGACGCTGCTCCTTTTTTATCGCCTCCTAAATGTAGCCGATATCTCGTTGTCTCTATGAGGTGAAAGGTCACGCTACAGTGAGCCAAGATGACAACTCTGCGGCCGTTTACATGCGATGATTTGTTTAAATTCAACAATATGTGAGTAGGGTTTCGTTCTTTTAGCACATGAGCTGTAATTTAACGCTGTTTCTGGTGTGACTGACGGTGACTGACGGGGATGGATGCAGGTTGTGTGTTCGGTGTGCGGCTGCGCCATTCCTGACCAAACTTCATGCAAAAATCACATCATTTAGCGACTCGGGTCATACAGACCTCAACACTTTCAGCATGTTGTTAAACAACCTTCTACGTTTAATAACTGAAAATTATAGTTTTGTTAGCAAAGCTGCTACATACTCGGCACACCGAGACCATGCAGGATTAAGAAGAAGCTGTGTATATATATGTTTGTGGAATTAAACAAAGTCTGTGGGTGTAAGTCGAGCAAAGACATGCCGAAATTTCCTATAGACACAACGGAAGCATTTAGGCTATTTACGTAACTGAAATGCCCATATGTGATGCTAAAAATTATAAATTTGCCGTTATTTCTGTTGAGTTTTGTTCGTTTCTCTCCATGTTAGAATAACGAAAGGGCTTGGTAGGAAATGGATAATTGGATGTGAATGTTAACGGCTCATTGATGTTTTTGTTTTTTGTCCATCAGAAACCTGGATCCTCTCACAGAGACTGTATCCTTTACCTGTGCTCTGCTTATTTAAGCTTCAGGGCCCACCTGTGGATGGCATCCACATTTAATTACACCAATGCAGTAATAATAACGAGTACCTGACATTATAAAAGCGTATTTTAAGTGTGTTTCCTCTTACTCTGGATAGTTTTCTTTAACCTTTGACCTCCAGTATGGGATCCCGTTTTACCTGCAGTACCTCGCTCACTGGCCGGAGTACTTTATTGTTGCTGAGGCTCCTGGAGGAGAACTGATGGGCTACAGTAAGTCCTCCTGCCTCCACAGGGGTTAAGGCCATCTTTTAACTCTCGAGAAACCATGCTAGCCTCTAAAATGACATAATAATAAGTCATACAGGAAAATACATATATTTGTATTTACCTCATCTGGGTGTAGTTTGCGGAGGAGGATGGGAGTGTCGGTCTACATATGTTCTGCCTTGTCCAAAATGTGTCCATTCCCCCTCAAACTAAAATCAGAACAAAACTTCTGTGCAGAGATGACACCACAAGGGCAGGGCATGATTCTGATCCTGTTTTGTTTCATATCCAACCTGATTCATGTGCAGCTTTTCCATGTACCACACAAAAAAAGAAAGGTCAGAGCAGCAGCAGGTCATTTTACAGGGAGGCCTTCAAAAAGCCTAGAATAACAGAGGGCTGATCCATGGAAAGATGAGCCCTAACCTGACTGCTCTGTGATGCTGTGAAACTTTCTCACACATTTATTGAGTTTTAAACGTCCAAAGACTGCCTCCTTACCTGTTCAAAGGTTTGGAGACAGGCTACAGATGACTCCTCCAAAGGAAGTGTGTTATGGATGACTAAAGCTGTTTATGCATTGATTCATTTATTTGGTGTACAGCATGTGGTGCCGTTTCATTCTGACATGATTTAGACACTGAAGGTGGCGCGCTCGAGCAGACCTGCAGCTATACACAGGCCTGTTTGAACAGAGGGTGCAGATTTAGAACAGATCCTGGACAGTTTAAAATAAATCCTATGACTCTCGCCTGAGTCTGAGGTCATGTGGAACTTTCTTGCAGTTATGGGGAAGGCGGAGGGATCTGTGGCTCGCGAGGAGTGGCACGGCCACGTCACCGCTCTGTCCGTGGCTCCGGAGTTCAGACGGCTTGGCCTGGCCGCCAAACTCATGGAAATGCTGGAGGAGATCTCAGAGAGGTTCGTATCAGGACTGGGATGAAAACTGTGCGAGCCTATCCCTCACATTTTCAAATCTCTTGATTTTTGACGTCTGTGACTTTGACCTGTTGTAGGAAAGGTGGATTCTTCGTGGATCTGTTCGTACGAGTGTCCAACCAGGTGGCAGTGAACATGTACAAACGTCTGGGCTACAGCGTGTACAGGACAGTCATAGAGTATTACTCTGCCAGCAATGGAGAGCCAGATGAAGATGCTTATGGTAAGATCGCAGCAGAGTCATTTTATCTCAGGAAGGTTTCTAACTGCATCTGCAGCCAATCAGAAAGGAGCTTCCTTTATTGCCTTCCCCAGCTGTTAAACTCACAGCTGATGTGATTTGCACAGAGACGTTACCATAGCAATGAGCAATATTAAAACGATCCAGGAGACTTGAATTGGTGAACAGATGTACGGCAGCTTTTAGCATCATCATGAATTATTCTGACCTCTTACTCTGGATCACCTAAGCAGCAGGATGCAAACAACTGATTTTTATGATCTGCATGAAGCAACATGTATCTGAACTGTATTCAAGTGCATTTGACCCCCAAAAGTGCCTCAAACCACCAACCAACTACAGGTTATCTACTAACCTTGGAGATAGTCGATGACATGCTCTACCTCCCGAGCCACAGCCAACCAAACTTGTGTTTTCAAATTGGTAAGGACTTGAATATCTCTTATGTGACAGATGTTCCACATGGGGGTCTGTCTCAAGTTCAACCTCTCTTGAGAAATTTGACACTCGTTCAGGTTCATCTCCTCTGTCAGTGCGCCCCAGGGTGGCTGTGGCTACAATGTAGCTTGCCATCACCAGTGTGTGAATCTGTGTGGGAATGGGTGGATGACTGGATGTGTAAAGCGCTTTGGGGTTCTTAGGGACTAGTAAAGCGCTATACAAATACAGGCCATTACCATTAGCCCCGGTATGCTGTACAGTGTTCCATCATCAGATGTTTTATCGTTTTCCGATTGCTGTCAGTCTGACCGGTGTGACAGATGTGGATCATAAACGTCGGTGCACTGACAGAATACTTAAACTTTTAATTTAACTGCTGACGTTAGTTTTGAAACAGCTGAAACAACAGTGAGAGACTCTAATACAGCCCTGTTCAGCTCACCGACAGCTCTGTGCCTTCTGCTCTAAACTTAAAATAAATTTACATGGTTTTTATTAATTTACGAAGTGTGTAACTAAAGGACAAAACCTGCTGCCTTTCTCCTTCAGACATGAGGAAAGCTCTGTCCAGAGACACGGAGAAGAAGTCGATCATCCCACTGCCGCACCCCGTCAGACCCGAGGACATCGAATAACAGCAGACTGTGGCTCTCTGACACTCGTACATTGACGTACATTGATAAACTGTCATTCCTCAGAGAGCCACTGGTCCTACAAAGAGTTTCATCTACTGTAAATATTAAATGAACATTTAGAAAAAGAACACGCAACACGTGACTTTGAGCCGATGTTTGTGTAATCGCACAAAGAAAACATACAATAAAGACTCATCCTGAGCCTCCAGCTTTTGTGTTTAAAAAATTAAAATAAAAAAAATACTAGAAAAATCCAGACTGTCCGCTTCCCTCGAGTCCCTGAGCGAGGAATTTACTCTTTATCTTCCTCGCTGCTCCTGCTCTCCTTCCTCTCTCCACCTTTCTCCTCCTCCTCCTCCTCACTCTCGCTGCTGCTGCTGCTGTCGTCGTCGTCGTCGTCGTCTCGGTCATCGTACGTTTTCTCCTGTTCCGTCTCAGCCGCAGTTTCTCTGCTGGATGCAGTCGTCAGCCGATTCTCAGGAGAAGCTGCCACCTCCACAGACTGTTTAGTTGTCTCTTCAGCTGCCGGCGGACCGTTTTCTGGAAGTGTCTCGTCATCTTCCGTGATGACCTGCTGCTTCTTCCACATCTTGGCCATGGCGAGCAGCTTGAGGTTGGGCTGATTGGCGGCGTCCTCTGGAAAGATGTAATCGTAGTACTCCTCCCAGCCAGCGTCCGACTGATGGGATGGAATTATTTCAGGACAAATAAGAACGATCCAATTATTGTAAATTAGGTTTTTAATTAATCCATTAGTTATTTCTGTGTATAAAAAAATTCAGTATTTGAGAAAACATTTCTGGTGGCTGTCACCATCCAGCTGTGACATTGTCCATCTCTTACCCCATCCTCGGCTGTCAGCTTCCTCCTCTTCTTCACCTTCTCCGGCAGCAGCTTCCTCACCCGCTCTCTAGTGCTGTCTGTGCCGAACTCCTTCTCGAAGTCTCTCCAGGACTCGAGCAGCATCAGCCTCTCCTCCTTCTCCTCGCAGTTCCTCATGCTCCTATTGGCCTCCTCATAGATCTGCCGGCACTTCTGCAGTCGGTCGGGGCCATCCACCGACAGCTCGAACTTGGCGTAGCTGATCCAAACCTGCAGGAGAAGAAGACGGTAAGCACAGAGCTTGATGGCTGGCAGGTCACACGAAAGACATGAAATATTTTTACTATAGACAGTTTGTTAGACCGTTCGTTAGATCTGGGATCAGGTTTGTGGAGTGCAGCTCTCACCTTGACGTGCTGAGTGCGCTGCAGTAGCCTTTTGTAAAGGTTTCTGGTGTTTTCAAACTCTTCCTGCTCAATCTCAAAGTCGATATAGGACTTCCACAGAACCTGAGGGCATAACAGACACGAGTGCACTGAATTCATCAGCAGGGCAACAATGTGAAGCGTGAGATAAGAAGTCGAACATATTTCAGTGAAAATGAAGCTACAGGAAGGTTTTTAAAAAAAATTAAAATAAAGGATCATTTTACAAAATGTTAAGATTTTTAAACAGAAACCTAGCTTGACTTTGATCTCACTTTGCTTCATGAACACTAATCCAGGATTACATGAAGCTGCTTATCAACTCTTTAGTCTGGGTTCCTGTCCTATTCATCTCCTACAGTACACTGTAGGAGATGAATTACTGTGACAGTAAAAACTGATGATGAAATGTGATGTTCACAAAAATCACAATAAGAAGCTTTAAAAACAGTCGAATAAGTTCCAAACCTGACCACCACACTTGAGTGCGTCACTGTGACGCACCCACTATATCTTACTCACCAGGCTTCTTCTCCTCTTCCTTCACATGACCCCTGATTTAAAAGTATTCCAAAAATAGGTAAGAAGGCATTTCTTTTCCTCCCATCATTAAAATGCTATTTAACTTTCACCACCAGGGGGCAGCATTTGTGCGAGAGGTTTCCAGTTACCTCTGGCATGTCCAGCCGTGGCTGCCCGATGGCGAGTTCGAAGATGGCCCGAGCCCGCTCGATGTCTCCCAGGATTGTCTCCAGCTCAGCAAACTTGATCCAGGTGGTGCAGTTTTCAGGGGTGAACTCGAGGTATTTCTCGTACAGCTTTCTACAGCGGTCGAACTCTCGCAGCTGCAGCTCCAGCTCGATGTAGCCCTTCAGCAGTTTGTTCTTCGGGCATTTCCCGATCGCCGTGCCCTGAGGAGAGAAATACTGATGAGAAGAAAGCGGACACAGACGCTGATGCCATTCTTCCTGTGGAGCCAGTGAGTTACACTCATCTGACTGAACTCGGCATAGAACAAGAGGGGCACTGAAGGCGAGGAAGAGGAGATGCCTTTGTTCTGTTTTCTTTTTACAGACTCGTTCCGTTTTCTTTCGCCTGATTTTAAGTTTTGCTTTTATTACTTTAAAAGACACTTTTTGCTCTACCCCCATCCTCTGCAAAAAGACTGATACAAGAAAGCATGAACGGAAGCTCGTTTTTTTTAAAAAACTACTTATTACTTATTAAGTCACCCAAAATGTAACATAATACAGCACTCTGTGCGTTCAGTTTACATCTGACTACACAACGTGTGGTGCTTTTGCACGTGCATCTGAGGAATCTTACCATGATCTTTCTGGCTGCCTGCAGGTTCTTCTGTCGGATCTCAAACTGAGCGAAGAGCAGCCAAATCTTAGCAAATGTGAACTGAAACAAAACAACGATAGTCACAATCAGGTGAGAATAGCAAGAACACCTTTACTGTAATGCATGAGTGGTTTCACTGAAGAGGTGCGGCCTTTAAATTGTAAATTACCTTCTTGTGGGGGATGAGTTCCAGACAGGCCTGATAAACCTGCCTCGTTCTCTCGGGATCCTGCCATCACAGAGTTTTGTTTAATCGCACACATCACTGTCAGACGTCTCGTTTTACATTTCTTTACAGCCTGGTTATGTCTGTTGCTTGAGAACATGATTCAGATCTGTGTCCTTTACTTTGTTGGAGGTTAACAAGATGCCGAATGATGGACCCACCTTGACCTCGAGCTCCTCATACAGACCGTAGTTGATCCACAGGTAGATGTATCGCCTCCAGTGTCTCTTCTCCTGGATGGGTGGGATGTTGGCAATGGCTCTTTCATAGACATCTCTCACCGTATCTGCGTCGGCGTCGCTCTCCACCAGACGGAGGTAATCGAACCAGGCGTCGTAGTTGTGTGGATTCGCCTGGGATTATGAGTGTATGATTTATTTTTTTAGCATTTCACTTTCCCCGTAACTTTCCCAAACAGCAGAGTAGGTGACATAAAACCTGCAAGTTAACAATTAAGCAAAAACCCCAAATACGAAGCCTATTTTGTTTCTTACACCAGTACAGAGAAAACAAACCAATCAGGGCGTTAAATCTGTAGACAAGGAAAATGAACCCATCTTCCTCCTTTGTTCCACTTTCTACAGATTTCCAGACGCAATTCCTTAAAACTGATACCTTAACTTCCTCTTCATACTGGAACCTTCGCTTGCTGACGATGACATCCTCGATTCCTCTGCGGTCTCCAAACTTCTTCTCAAACATAGTGTAGTTTTTGAAGAGCTCCTGTGCCTGATGTTTAGGGATTCTGTCCAAAGCGTACTTATAGATCACCCGGACTCGCTCGAACTACAACGGTAGAGAACAAAAGTAAATAAATACATTACACAATATGATCTCCAACAAAATGAATGCAAGAAAGAAGTTTGAGAAGTCTGAGCTGCACTCGCCTCCTTCTGAGTCTCCTCAAACCTGGCGAAGGCCACAAAGAGGTTTTCATCTACATGTTCCTCCCCAAAGAACTCCACCGCCCGCTCGTACACCTTCCTGCCGTGGGCGATGTAGCCGTGCTTCTCTTCGAAGCGAGCGTACTTGATCCAGTTTTTCACCTCAGGGTGAACGATGACAAGTGCAGCGAAGTTGAGGCAAACGCACCATCACAAAGGTCGTGAGATAAAACAATCAGAATAAAATAATAGCATGAATAAAGTGTTCAGCAACAGTAAAGACAGGTAGATGGAGGTGGAGGATGAAGAAAACTGAGGAGAAATGCTCCAACAGAAGAGATGGTTCTGTGTGGCTTGAGAAGACCGACCACACAGAGAGAAGGGGAACCAGGTGAGGCAAGGAAAAAGCATTCCTCAAGGTTAATCAGTATTTTAGGGTTTATTCTTCCATCTTGAAGGTGAGTTGATAAAAAGTGATGTTATACTTTACATAAACATATAAAGAGGAAGTCTGACAGCAACCTTTGTTGTCCTTCAGAGAACATAATTTGTAGCTTTGAGAAGAAAACAGCCCTGATAATAATGAACTCAAGCTCTGTGGGACGACTCAGACCATCATCCTGATCGTGCTTTTGGTTTCTGTATTTTAAAGTTTTATTATATTGTTTGAATTTAACTGTGGGGAAACAACCAGTTCCCTGCATGTTAGTAAAAGCAACAAAAGGATATATCGCTCATAAATGGTGCGGGCTTTCTCCACCTCCTTGTAGCGCAGCTCAAAGTTGATGTAAGAGTGCCAGGCCTGCTCTTCAGGCTCCCATTCCATCCATCGCTCAAAGACCTGCCTGCAGCCGGCGATGTTTCCCAGCATCTCCTCCATGTAGGTGTACTTGTACCTGTGCAAAGGAACAGCATTCAAAATATTACACACTTAATGAAGAAACACAGAAGATTTAACAAAAACAGACAACAAATGCACAGCAAAGACTCTCCATCAGAGCTGTACAATCACAAGCAGACTCACACTCACACGATGCACTTTTCAAAGTTTAAAACACATTTACGTCAGATTACATCTCAGCTACTCTATTGTTAGATAAGCGTCAATAAAGTATCAGCCAACAAATGCATTTATTTAATCTTTAACTACAAAAAAGGACTGAAAATTGTGACTGTGTCACTTGTCAAAGCCTGCTGATATTTTAGAAAACAAAACAATCAAGAAATAAATAAAGCAATTAAATGATTAAATGCAGTCCTACCAGAACTGGTTGACTCGTGGGAGGATGGTGATGGCTCTGTCCCAGATGTTGCGGGCATGGTTCACCTGGCGGCTTTTCATCTCCATCTCAGCGTACTTTAGCCACAGAGTGACGTTGCGATGATCGACATCTAGCGCCCGCTCGTAAATGGAACGAGCTCTGAAACAAGATTACATTGGTGAGGTAAAAGTGGACCATTCAGACACATGGGCATGAGAAATATTTCTAAAAAGTTTACTAAAATGTTAAAAGATGTGAAGACCAGTTCTACTTATTTCAGTACGACCAAGACTAAGATGTTTGTGATTGGACCCCTGCAAAGTTGTAGCCATTTAATATTCTGACTTTCAGCAGATTTTGCCTCAGTACCTCTGGATCTCCTTCAGACTTTCCTCCCATTGTGCGTATTTGATCCAGTTACTGATGACAGTCCGGTTCTTCCTGATGTTGTCCTCAAAGCTCTAAAAGAAAAAGACATTCATCATGTCCAAAAACTATAAAAACATATTTTTGTGTGCTGGAAACGTCTCAAATTTTCCTGTTAGATTAAAACTACAAACACATTTGTTTAACTAAACACGAGTATTAGAGCAGAAGTAAAGCCAGAGAGCAACACACCTCAAATATTTTATGCTGCCTTTTTAAAACATAAATAAAGGTGGTAAAAAAAAAATTTGCAGAAAGGGCAGTATGAGTAAGAGCAATGTGAACACTACCAGCAGAGAAAATATGATGGAAGCGCTTACCTTCCTCTTCCTCAGTTTGTAGTCATTGAGCTCCTCCTGATCGGTGATCTTCTGTTTCGGTGGTGGTGGCAGGAGTTCGAGCTCTCTCTCTTTGGCTTCCCTTAGCAGCTGCTCTGCAGTGATCTGAACCTCTGCCGGAGCTTTATTCTTCACCTAAAACACAGCACAAAATACAATTAGCGGGAGCATAAAGTTGGTCTTTCTTCTCTTCCCCTCAACTGGTCATAGCAGACAGCCTCTCCCTAAACCTGCTTCTGCTGGTTCCTGTTAAAATAGAGTTCTTCCTCCCCATAGATACCAAGTTCTCCTGATTGTTGGAGTTTTTAATCGCTTATGTTACCTTACAATATAAAGCACCTTGAGGCGACTGTTCCATCATCATCTTATTCTTCTTTTGACTCCTCCCTTTAGGAGTCACCAATGGCTCATTTATCCCCATTTCACCCTATGCCAGCATCATCCTCTGTCATACCAACCCTCTGTATGTCCTTCTTCACAGCATCCATCCATCTTCCTCTTTTTCCCCTGCCTGCCAGCTCCACCTTCAACATCCTCTGACCAGTATATCCACTAGCCCTCCTCTGCACATGTTGGAACCATCTCTGCCTCTAACTTTGTCTTCAAAGTAACTGGTGAGAGCCGTCTCTGACCTTCAGCTCTGCTTCCTGTAAGTTTCAGTCTCCAAACCGTGCATCACTGCAGGTCTTACTATCATCTTGTAAGCTTTTCCTTTCTCATTTGCCTCTATCGTGTCAGAAATCACCCCTGACATTCGTCTCCATCCTGCTTGCACTCTCTTCTTTACCACTCTTGCGCACTGTCCGTTGCTTTGGATGGTTGACTTCGGATACTTAAACTCATCCACCATCAATTCCTCTACTGCTTTCAGCTTCACTGGTACACCCGTCTCCCTCTCATTTACACACATGTATTCTGTCTTGCTTCCATATACCTCCAGAAACTCCCTACTCTCAATACAGATCACACTGTCGCCTGCAAACGCAATCACAGTCCACTCCTTCACATACTATTACTATAATAGTCAGTTTTTGAGAAACTGCATACATGTTTAAACACAGTTCTAACTTTAAAGACACAAAGGAACTCAAATGTGCCAGATTTTAAATCCTAATATAAACAAGAATAAATTAAGCACACGTAAAACACATGGAAGCCAAAACAAAGCAGAGCGTGGTGAAAGTTTACAGCTAATGTAACTTGTGTGAAACTCAGAGCACAGAGCTACCTATTAAGCAGGTAAAATACCCATAAAACTACTACAGTCTAGCACGTTTTTGTGAGTAACTTTGGCCGTAAAAAGATGAGATTAGATTTTAGTTCTGCTCCGTTAGCCCGAGTTCTATGTTAGCATTAGCCCGGAGCTCTGATACTGCTCTGTTCGCTTACCTTGGCCACCTTCGGTATCCGCTGTTTCCCTGCCGCTGTAGACGCCATTCTGATGGCAGGTTTAACCAACAAACAACGTTAAAAACCTCACTTAAACTGTCCCGACAACTACCGAACGGCGCAAACAGACAGCGAAACGTTTCCGTCTCACCGAGCGCCAGCCACCATGACAGTAACCACAATGCCCCGCGTCTTCTTCTTTTTCTTTTGTTCAAAACGCAGACGTGTTGCTGCCATCTACCGTTTGTTCGCCAATGCCATTTTGAATAGTTTATATATACGTTGTCCGATATAGAGAATATATTCACTATAACGGACTTCAGTTGAGTTCATTTGTCCAGTTTAAAGAAGTTTTGATGAAGACTAAAAACTTGTTTCTAGACTGATTTTAGTTCTTTAAAAGGTTGCTTTATGACTTCCGGTTAAACCGCGGGAGTTCTGGCATTACGTTACTATGGCAACTGGTTTGGTTTCTTTATGGGTGAAAACAGTGAGCTGAATTCAGTTAAGTTTATATTTACCTACTATTTCACCTCCTTCTATCCACCAACCTGATATTATAGTTTATTACAAAAGGCCGTCTTTTGTCTGCTTTAGTTTTGTTATTACTATTTATCCATATAATACGGGTGACGATGCAGACTGTAACCTCAGACAGCGCCCGGGAGGAAACCGTGACCGTGAGGAGAAGCGAGTCCGCGGACGCTGAAGAGATAGACGGCCTCATTAGTCCATCTGCGCAGGCGGTGTTTGGAAGAGTCAATGTTATTCGTCTGCTGTGAGAAAAGTTTTTCTCCTTAAACATCTCAGCGGCAGAGTTTAGACCGTAAACTAGATGCTCTCTGCACACAAACACACCTACAAGCTGAATAAGTTGTTTTAAACACTGTTAGATAATTTTTTTTGGAATTATGCAGTCTCTAAAAAGATTTCTATCGTCTCTTTAATATATAGCTGTGCTATAATATTACTATTGTTCTGCACAGACTGGTGTTTTATTCTTGTCTTAAGTGTAATGTCTAAGCAAATGTGAACAAATAAACAAGAATAGATATTAAGTGTAATATCTATTCTTGTTTATTTGCTCACATCAGTTTTCATGCTGAGAACTGTAGGAGAATTATAGTGTTGGAGG